GTAAACTGCTAGTATACTGTGCATTATGTTGTGCGACGGTTAGGGAAAAACCCAGGATTCGTACACCACACGTATAAAAGCATAGATTGTTATATGGCAGTTAAATCAAATAAACAGAATTTTTTGAAATGACGTCATCAAATTGTTGGTGGGGGTGACGAGCAAAATTTTGGTTAGCGTTTAATGATACAGCCTGATTTCGAAATATGTGCAATAAAAAAATGGGGAAGCAATAAGGTTATTGCTGTGTGTAAATTCACGTTCCTAAGTGATAGCAATGTCTAGAAAAATTATTTAAAATTAAATATAAATTGTTCTACGCGTGACTGGCAGTGTTTCTTGACCTACTTCTTTCAATGAATGGGATAGAACGACTCGGATTAAGAACCAAAAAAGTGACTGATAGGCAACGTGCAAAAAAACGAAAAGGGCCAGTCATGTATCAGTTGCTCTGCAGCGTGCGGTCGAATAACCTGGTTTATGGTGAATTTTTCCAATTAAGAGCGTTCCAAATCGCGAGATTCCGTGTGCGCGAATATTTGCATCGGTGGTACAGCATCTTCGAGATCTGGTACGTTCAATCTCAAACTCACGATCGTGGCCGTGATAGGACCGAAAGAATACTGCAAGCTGAAGAATAAATTTTGGAACGCGCCGAAGAAGAGTCCGACATCAGCACTCGCCAACGCACAGTGGGACGAAATCAGAAATATGTGGCCAAAATTTTGAAACAGCCCAAATTCATTAAAAAACTTGATGACCTTTGCAAATTGCATTTATTTTATTTTAAAACATGGTTTGCTAAATTTGTGATCGAAAATTTACTGAATTATGGTAATAAAATAAATAATTAAAGTACAAGATAAAAATTTTCATATTTAAAAATTGTTGGTGTTTAATAATAATTATTAATATAATAAGAATTAAGAAACAATCAAAACAAAAAAATAACCAGCCTGCTTAAAAGAAATATATGTACACATAATTATTAAATTTCGTCATTTTCGAAACTGATTTCACTATTTGTGTCAGCGGATGAAATTGTCGTTTCTGTTTCCTCGGTATCACTTTCTTCTAATTCGTTTTTTAAAAGTTGATGAGCTTCTGGTAGCATTTTTTTAATTTTCTTTCTGTGGACCTTCCTTAAAGAAGTTATTAAGAGATCAGATGACAGAAGAAGCCTATTTAAAAGATACTGATCGCTGTTTATTCTGGAAGATCTCCGCGTATGATATTGCCGATATTTTCGTATATCTTTGTTTCTAGACTCCTGTGCCTCTTCTGTTTAACTGCCCAATAGGAAGCAAAGTTGATGAAATAATAATTGTCCCATGAATTAGAACTTTATGTACCGTCATAGGCATGTTAAACCATCCATATTCGTCGACGAATATTTTCGCCGTTTCAATGGCGTATGCTTATAATTGTATTTCTTCTCCACAAGCAAATGTTTAAAAACCACAGAAAAGCTGTAGATTAAATTTTCCTATACTCCAGTGATCTCTGTTGAAATTTTGGGAGTATAAAAAAATCGTCTTGCAGTGTTCCCATTAGAGGTTCCGCTTCCTCCTGCCCGCGGTTGGTTCACAATCAACCCAATACGAAATTCTACTTGAATTTTTTTTTCTTCTTCTACACCTGCCTTGTCAGCGGTTCTTGCTTGCCATTTTTTATGTCTAAACTTTAAATGATACTCTAGGTCGGCCCACTAGAGAAGGTATTGAATGTTTAGATGTTGAAGGTACAGACGAGAAGAAGTTTCTGCTCTCCAAGATACTAACTCCTTCTGTGCTACCAATCATAAGGCATTTTGCTTAAAAAATCGCTCTTCATATCTCCTACACTTGTCAAGTCTTGAGGAAAATTCAGAACACAGCCGTCTATCATTTTTCTTCAGAAGAAGAATTAAAGTTTCTTTGTCTTCAATATAGTAAAACTGTATTAGATGAGCAATTAAATGCTCCCTCTGGACTGAGTGATTTTGTTCGCGTTTTTCGCGAAGAAAAGAGAATAATTCCTTCCTGCAGAACATATTGAACTCAAATGTATCTCAAAAACACACTCATTAGTCTAAAGTAACACATATAAACTTACATCAAATTGCTGTATATGTACCTATTAAATGCAAATTTACATATTTTGTCAAATATTTCGAAAAGGGGCAAAAAGGGGCATTTCAAATTTTGAGGGATTTGTCACCAAACTTTACAGATTCATATCCCATTTATACAAGGTGGGGCATTGTGGGGCTTTTTTTATAAGTCACCGCAAACACACAAAAGTATTTCCAAGTTGACAAAATTTACGACACTATAAAAAATGTTATATTTAATGTAAGGTACAAACAATAACTACAATATAATTAATGTGTGAAAAAGTACTTACCTTGAAGTATATTGAGGTATAATTTCAGTAATATACAGTGGCGGCTCGTGACCTAAAATTTTGGTGAGGCCACACCTTATGACGTAAAAATAGTTAAATACATATAATTTTTTTTTATATCTGTAAATACTCTACTCTGTCAGTTGAAAGTGATACCTGAACATTTACAAATCACGATTCAAAAAATTTCCACTTCCATTTTTCCCAAACTTGGCGACTTACTTAAGAAATTTGGAATTGTAAGTCGGTTTTATACGTCAATAAATGAAAATTTATTGTATCACGAATTCGGCGTTTTTTGATCACAGGAAATTTGAACATAAAAAAATATTAAGAAAAATGCACCACATAATCAACTGTCGGGCAAGAACAGACGTGGAGGTGTAGAGTTTTCTTGCCAGGAAAGAAGGATAGGGCAGAATAAGAAACAGGAATGATAACAAGTGGAAGGTTTAAAACAAAGGTAAATAAAAAATGTGGTAAAACAATAGTAATATAAGTAAAATGAAAACTTAATAAAAATTCTAGTTTTCGAACAACCGCTTCAAAACCGTGGCAAATAACAAAAAAAGATTTATAAATAATATAAACAATAACAATACTTATGGATTAATTTATCTTGTAGGTTGTATTTACTGAAATTATGTAGCAATAATTGAAATAAACCTTCGTCCAGAACTAACATCGAAAAACCCCACGAATCTTTCGACAATTTTACCGGAGATAACGTAACGAAAAATAACTGATAATGGCGAATTACAACTTATGTCAGTCGTTTCATCTATCTGCCAGGAAAAAAAAGGAGCTTCAAAAATTTGTTTGTTATGACAAAAGAAATTGATTCAACTAACTCGTTCTAAATCATTTTTGATGTACCGGAAAACACGGATTTATTGTCAGAATCTTTTTCCAAAAAATTTCCCAAATAAGTGTCATACCTATTCAACAATGAAATTAATTTTTTAAAATTTCCGCTATTGAAAGACGTTTCTGACTCGTCATGTCCTCTAAAGGTCAGCTCTTGTGTGCATAAAAATATAGCAACATCAATTAACCTTTTAATAATTTCTCTATTTTCGCGAACTTTGGCATTAAAATTTTCTATTTCAATTTGGCGAGCAGAATCTAGAGTACTGGCAATATTCTGTTGGCCGAGAAGAACAAACTTGCAAGTAGATGACATGTGATCTTTATTTTTGAAATGTTTTTCCAAGGAACGCGACAAATTTTTCAAATCTGCATATCAAGTTTTCCACCAAATCGATTCTCCACTATTCGAGAATAAAATACATAGCCAAGAGAAAAGTTTATTCATAGTTGTACTCCCGGCAAGTCTATCATATTTTGTATACCAAGTGAGACTAAAGGCCATGTTTTTTTGTTTTTCTCTTTGAATTAATGTTAAGCTTAGATCTGGACATGGACGTTCGGTTTCCTTTACAAACAATTTATCTTCGCATGTTAACTTATTAAAGGGACATTCATTCACGAGGAAGTTAACAATGTCATTTGTATTTCGAACAGTGGAGATTACCTGAGTACCAGATGGGCCTGCGTCCATGTTCATTATTATTTAATTACATATAAAATTAATTGGAGTATCCACAATCCACCAGTTAACCAAGTACCGAACTCTTTAACGACAACGACTGAAATTTAAAATTTTTGCACACTGTAAAATGCAAAACGCACGTGCATGTGGACTGAGCGGAGTAGGAGAACCAATCAGATAAGAGCTGCGGCCGGCCTCAAAACTATCTGTCCTAAAGCATTTGATTCCCATAGTAAACGGTGCCGGTAATACTGTGCATTGCAAAAACATCGAGCCTCCTACTCCCACATTTTAATCAACCCGTGAGGCCGGTCTAAACGCATGATAATTCATGATTGGTTAGAATAACGCTGCGCCTTGATTTTGTGGTTGGCATAGAAAATTCAGTTGTCGCGCTAATTTTAAATTACCCCGTACAAAAAAATAGTATGGAAGAAAAACATTTTTTATGGTTATGTATGGTGAGGCCCTGCCTCACCTGCCTCACCTGACATGCCGCCACTGGTAATATATGTTTAATACGAAGCTGAAGACACGCGTTTGAAATAACTTGATCACCACCAGTCTGAACACCATTAAAAAATGAATAATGCCAAACAGAAAGTTTGTGCGCTCTCAGACAACGTAAACAGTTTTACAATCAGCAATAACTAATTGTACAAAATCCCTCAGACATTTGGGCTTTCAGAGCAGGTAATATTATTTAGAAAAACAGATGTTCATTTTTCACAATTTTGACCACGTATTTTCAATTTCATCCCACTGTGCAGTGGCAACTTTAGTGGCCACTAATGTTTACACATATATAACATCCGCATTTGGTAAATAAATTGATTCATATAAATGACAAAAGAGACTCCAATGTTTATAGAAATAATTATGACTATTCCATTCATCTGTTAATTGCTTAAAAAGAGCCGATAAAAATTGTACTTTGTGTGGGCGTTACTATGGTTATAATGTATTGTACCGGATATATCTTCCCAGGAAGGTATTAATTCAACTGACAATTTTTAACAAAAAAAGTCGATAAGAAATTAATGTATTTATTTGTCAGTAACATTAAATGTACAATTTGAAAAGGTTACATTCGTACAGTTTTGTAATAAACAAGAAGCCTCACTTATCGTTTTATCATTTACAGTATTGTTTACTTGATTAACTGAATTATTTCGTATTCTATTAATAATTGATTTGTGATGTTCATCGTCGAGTTGCAAATATGGTTTAATTGAATTAACGTTCTGGTGTCCTGTGATTTTCATCGACTGCTGTTCAACTCCAGCTTTAGCCAAAGCAAATACCGCTGATGAGCGCACAGAATGATTTGATATTTTCCTTCTTTTAATATCTAAACCAGTCACTATTGCTAACGACTTTACCCATTTACCCATTTCATTAACTTCAACGGGACTATTTTCGTACCACAGTGCATTTTGTATTTTGTTCCAAAAAGGATTGGGTGTTAAAAACATTCTGTCGATGTTTATGTTATTTCCTCTTTTCATCAATAGTAATGATACAGCCTATAAATTAGAACAGTTTAATACACGACATAAAATGGGAAAGGTTGGGGTGGTCTTTATTTTTGGTTAACCATTTACTACTTGTCAATGGTTTTGAACCACCTTGTGCTGTTTTTGAAAAGACAGGATTATATTCAATCCGGGCTGTAATAAGTCCTTTATTGTCAATTTCTGGCTTAAAATAGTATGTGAAACAACTGGCTCCATCACGACCACGCCAAGCTAATTCAAAAGATGCTATTAAAAAAAAAACTTCTTTTGCAAACCGTCTGGTGTATTTTCATTTAAAATTCGTACCATCCTTTTTTCTGGTAGTGTTTGAAGTTTTCTTCGGGTAGCGTCTCTGGCGTCTCGTGCTGCTTTGAAACATGGATCCGTAAATGGATTTATTTTAATATTCCACTCATTGAAAGATTTTTCCTGAATGTAGGAGAGAAAATTACGATGAAAAACATTTTTTTTTAAACAATAACAAATAGGCGTTACCTTTTTTTTCATTTCTAACTTTACTAAAATGTCAGGATTGAACATAATTAAATCATAAATTCACTTTTAAGTCGTCAGAGATGATATCTGGATAGTCACAATTATTTCCTTGTCAGTTAGGCCGGTGTCGAAGTGAATCGGTTTTATCAACAATTCCTCAACCTGCAAAAATGCAAAGGGGGGTGTGAGTCATCGATCCCCAAGATTGCCAGATGCAATCTGCTACTTTAGTGATATTTATTACAAGCGAGTCCGTGTATTTTTAATTAATTGATAATTAACAAGTTCAGTACCATTTTATTATGATCTGCATAAGACTGATTTACTTCACAAATTATTCAGCAATGAGCTCTGTCCAAGAGATCTTGAAATGTTATATTATGTTGATATAGTCCAAAAGAAAAATATATTTGTAATCAAACTACGACAGCACTGGATTTAGCGTATGAGATACAATTCCGCGCGTTGATTATAACATACCGGTAACTATTTTCACCTGTGCCGTAACACTGGATTAAACAAATTCTTTGTCGCAACGTTAACATTTTAATTTTTTGACATTTAAAGTAAAACATTTTGCCATGTTCAAAGCCTACCGCAAAAGACGATCTTTATGGAATTTTAGCAAAAAATTGATTTATTTAGAAAACCCTGCGTAACTTAACAGTTTTTGTATGTGAAATGCTTGTTTTACGTCAATCAAAAAAATTTATTCGTTTGACATTATTTCATAAAATCACAAACAAAAAAGTGTTTCCTCTTGTTAACCCAATCCGGGGACATACTGTATATACATACAAAATTTGACAACAATCGGTCCAGCAGTTCTGGGGATTACGTGTTTAATAAAAATGGATACAGACACCAGACAGACAAAAACAGGAGACCACTTTTTTCGTATTCTGGGGGGTTATGAAACGTCGAGAAAACATAAAAGTGGCCATTCATCAGATGAACTTGGTAATCAAGGCTACGCTTAGGAAGTAAAAATATTCTTTGTTTTCATGGGAGTATTGTTTACTAATTATTGTCTATAGTTTTTTTTTTCTGTAAAAAAATATATTAGCCTTTCCTAATAACGTCGAATTTTACAGCCATCAAGACAGAAAATGAATTAATAAAAGTGGTTATCCGAGAAGCAGAGCCAAATCTGAATTTTTACACGGCATGCCTGTTGTTGTTCTCTCTCGCGTGTTTGGAATTCCTGAGAATAATATAAAAATTAAAACTATTTATCGAGAAGAGTTATGAGTGTTATGTGTATGATCTTTTCAGAAAAGATCATACACATAACACCGATAACTCTTCTCGATAAATAGTTATGTGTATGATCTTTTCAGAAAAGATCATACACATAACACCGATAACTCTTCTCGATAAATATATAGTTTTAATTTTTATATTCACTATTTATTATTGTAACAGATTGTATGATTTCTGGTATCAACCCACGACCACCGATGACGGCTTAAAATTCGAGTCAGAAACATCAAAGGCTCCTAAATACTGCATGATCTCTATCTACTATGACACTATTGTTGATTTTCAAAAAATTTAATAATAGAGTATGCCATATACCTTCCGTATAGTCAAAGTGTGACCAACATCTCTCGGATAAGAGAAGTGAGGCGCGAGACGTTTATCCACCCCGTCGTAGACGAGTTTCAGATAATACAATTTCAAGAAAAGCAAAAAATGTGGTTAGCACACTTCCCACACGTTGGCGTATCTGGTCATTGTATCCGTCCACTAAAATCTAGAACAATGACAAATGTGTAACTCGCTGATATTAAAACTGATAGAGAGCAGTAAAGTCTAGTTACGCTACTGACTCGCTCAACCGCTTTTCCGTCCATTCACGAATGTGCACGAACACGATACAAACAGAAGAGAGGGTTTGTATATGTGTGATACAAAACAATGAACACTGTATTCCCTCTATACATATAAAATCTCTTTGCTAACTTTGCTTGGATCCCAATCTCAAAATCAAAACTTTTGACCACACCAAGAACAAAGGAATTTGAACCTCACATTGCTACTGTATACCTTTGTAATATAGCCTCTTATGGAATTGATTGCAAAAATTTAACTGGTAGTAGAACCCATCACTATATGAAACTTTGCTATATAACGTTTTTTCGAAAACCCATTTTTTTGGCCATCTTCCCTTTGTTTTGACGAGCCGATCAGTGTATTAAAAAAAATGACTTTCGTTGACACCGAGAGGTTTTTTGGCAAAACACTTGGCACAAGTTTTTGCCGCAAAAACGACTGAGTGCGTTGTGATTTGATTACAAACGTGCAATTGGTAGTGAATTCTCACAGTGTTCGAGTAGCTAAAGTTGGTTATACACGGATATGGTTCTTGTTACAGTGAGGTTTTGGACAACGCCCAGGGGGTGAGACGTCTACACAGCGTTTGCTTTCCAAAGCGATACCTTCCCACTGGATTGCACCGATATCACCTTCAACGTGTGCAAGCGCTAAAAGCAAGAAGTGGTTAAATGTGAGGATTTTTTTTTTGTGGGGACATTGAAGGAGTTAACGTACGCGACCTCCGTTAAATCAGTGCAAGAACTAATTGCACGTGTGAGTGCTGTGACTGGAACAATTCGTCTAAATCTAGCTATGAGTGAGAGGATCGAGACTTCAATGGCCAGGCGAATTCAAGTATGCATTAACATAGAAGGGGGACATTTTGAGCAATTATTGTTATAATATGAAAAGATAAATGAGTGACATGCTGTACTGCAGTTATACTACAACCGGTGAGAGATTGAGTGATAGAAAAGTCATTAAATCTACGCGAAGAAAAATGTACCATCCGCACGAAATTTGAAATTTCAAAGTGAATCTAATCTCAAGCGCTATGAAAAATAAGTTTTACATTAGTCGAGAATTTTTGTACTGAGTTTCGTTTGGGAACCATAATTTTACGATACGAAAATAAATTCCTGGCTTCGAGTTGATGTTTTTTTGCTACAAAAATGTCTCTTAATAACAGAAAACGATGTCTATTATTATCATTACACCTCTGTATTTTTCTGAAAATTGTTTGAAATATCTCCTAGAACTCTTTAAAGAACCACTGGAGATGAGAGTGAGAAAACTGACCTAACCTGAGTACTGGAATTTTCAGTGGTTTTACATTTGTAACCAGTGAACTCAATACGGTACGTAGTATTGAGTTCACTGTTTGTAACAGAGACAGCGACAGCTTAGAGTGTAGTTTGTAGTGTCAGGTTGCTGACAACTTACATGTCAACTGTCAAGAAATTGCATTCTCTCACCGGAACTACTATAGCGACATACATATTTGTTGATTTATTTTTGTCGTTGAAACGAAACCATTTGTCGAGTCTTAAGTCTGCAAAAACTCTGTAATTCCAACTGATATTTTATGTTTTTATTGTGCCAACCCACGGTACTTCATTGTTTTATCGAAGAAGGTAGGTATTAATTACACATAGGTCGGTAACGATTTACATTGTCGATTTATTTTCAGTTTTAATTCTTGAACAGTAGAGTTTTGAACAAAATGTTATATAGAAAAGTTTACACTAATAATGAGTTTTATTACCGGTTAATTTTTTTGCATTCAATTCCACGACACCCTGTATATCTATGCTGTGACAGAATCAAGCCGGGAACACGTGTGTAATATATCGCTTATTGGTTGTTTTTAATTTGGCGCTGCAGAACATTGCCTCGGCATGCGCGATTTTGCTTCACTCTGTACCATGGTAGTTTAAATTGCGTAGTCAAGGTCAACTGAATCCATCACGCTTGGCGCGTCATAAACCCAAGTCAGTCGGCTTTTGAAAGTTTATGACAAGTTTAGAAAGTGACGTCACCTTGTGAAATTTTTAATGATTAAGATTATTAAGCGAGGTAAATATTTTGTGTGTCACTGACTCACTGTCATTCGTTTTTTCAAAATTCAAAATACAATAATTAGTACCACAAAGACAAGAGAATGGACAAAAATAAAGTATTCTTTTAAATAAGGTATAGTGAACCAAGAGCTATAAGGTTATATGGCCATCATAAAAGTAGTTGACCGCAAATAAATACCCCCTTTGTGTGGTTCGCACTAAGCTTACCGGTTGGCAATAAATCATCTTCTAAACATTTCTTGCTCATATTTAACAGGGCCGGCTTTCAAAGCGAGTGGTTATTTCGGAACCCTCAGCGGCTGCAGGTAGTAAAGAAATAGTGGAGTGGTGGATTTTCATATTTAGTGAAAGCCGCCCCTGAACGAAACCACAAGAGCCGGTTGAGCTGCAGTGGACACGTTATTTACGACCCTAAAACCTTTTCTATTGTAAACAACTTAACTTCGACACAATGGGATGATTTTATGATGGCCATATAACCTTATAACTCTTGGTTCACTATAAAATGTCGTGTAATACATCGGCGATACTTTTTACAAGCCCCACAAAAAGTTTATTCGCATACACTAATCCACCATGGTCCTGAAGAGTTATACATTTTAAGAGAGGTCCAGGCATTGTAGTTGACACTAAAGGGGCAATGCAATCATCACATTGATTTTCTTTTTTTTTGTAATTTCATAATTATAAATCCAGATAAAAAAGCTACTGATGCAGAATTCATTCCTTTGTAACATGGATTTTAAAACATAAATTCGTAGGCCGAAATAATTCTTCTGCATGTTCCTCGGCAAATTTATCAACTGTTGATCTTTGATGGGAAAGCTGATTGAGTCTGATGTGACTTATAGTTCTTGCAGTGTTGGCGGATGTTGATGATTTTAGAATTGCACTTCTTCAAATTTGTCGTAAGGCATATTCAGCTGCAAGAAACGTCAGTAGTATCATTTGAGTCTCCTTTTAAACAAATATGCGAAAATGTCGCCTCTACAGCATCTGAACTAAATGAGCGAGTTAACACGTAATAAAATCCACCTTGTGTCAGAAGTAATTGAACAGATACAAATATACTTTTTGGAGTGAATTTTAGAGCATGTGCTGTTTCGCTGCCTAAACATTTTATATCCTGTGCTGACTGAAGTGATTTTAGAAAATAATATTCAACCAATGGAGGCGTTGATCGGAAATTGCTATCGAGTGCCTGAATATAATGTCTTCTACTTAAGATGTTATAGGTTTGAATAAAATTAAACATATTTTTCTACTGAATTGAATTGAATTGTTTTACTGCCGCACGGTGAACATCGGCTCCCTAAATGGAAAGCGATATCGACCACGAATTATTATAAATTAGCCTGCTCTGATCATGGGAAAGCCAACTCGGGCAAATCAAACCTCAAGCGCTGAATGTGTAATGAACTAATGATCAATGTGAGTGATCTTCAAGAAATGATCCAGAACATCGTAACAGAATCCGTCAAAATACTGCTTGTCCAAATCAGTGACCTATCCTATGAGATCAAGAGTCTAAAGCAACTCCATCAACTTGGTGTGAGCAATACAGACAGGAAAGTTTCGACAGAAGAACATCAGACCATCACGAATTTTGAAAGTGACAATGAAGATTGTGTGTCAAGCGATTCAGTGTCATCGAATCAGACGGTAAACAGAGAATTTCCAAAAGAAAACAAGGCAACAGAGATGAAAAGAAGTGGCGCAAAAAAGCGCAATAAACAGCGAAAAGTAAACAAAACGGCAGCACGTCAAACAATCGTCAGAGGCTGCCACGATTCAGAAAATCAAACATCAAGCTTCAGTGCAGCAGCACGACGGCGACGTGCATGGATCTATGTCGGTAGGACTCACACGAACACAACACCAGAAGATATTGAAAAATATCTCCAAGAAAGATTTTCCAATCACAATTTTATAGTTGAACCACTTCCAAGAAGAGAAGATGCTACGAGCGCTGCTTTTAAAGTTGGAGCAGATTTCCTCCTCCTTGACCAGATCTACAAGGAAGAAAATTGGCCCCGAAACGTGATAGTAAAAAAATTTGAATTTTTTCGTCACAAACGCACCGCAACATTCGCAAACTAACATAACTATACTTGTTCTTAATATACAGTCAATTTGTTCGAAATTAACAGATTTTGAAGTTCTTTTGGCGGAAGAAAAATACTCACTAGTTAGTAGAAGTAGAAGTATCAGAACATTGGTTGTATGACCAAGAACCGGAAACTCTGACTATAGAGAACTTTTCTACAAAATCGTACTATTCCAGAAAACCCGCGAAGCACGGAGGCTCTCTAATATTTTCCAGAAATGACGTAAACTGTAAGAATATTGAACAACTAACTCAACTCTCCGTGGAGAATCACTGTGAAGTGTCAGCAGTAATTGTTAGTATCATTGGAGTAGTGTTTATAAACTTGTACAAGCCACCATCTGGTGATTTTGACTTATTTTTTAATGTTTTGTCCAAATTATTCGGGATAAGTAACTCACTTGAATTAAATGTTGTGTTAGCAGGTGACTACAACGTCATGTTCGACGACGACAATCACCAAAAAAACTTGCTGTGCGACTTTCTGCGCTGTCAGGGGTTAGAATATATTGTAAACTTTCCAGCTCGGAAAGACTCGTGTTTAGACAATATTTTTACGAATATAGATTCATCACACTACGAGATAAGTCCAGTCAAAATACAGATATCTGATCATCAATCAGCAATAAAGCTAAATTTGAAGCTTTCTAGATAATAATAATAAGTGTATTGGTGTTCTACACAAAGAGTGCATATACAAGGCAGGTACCTATCGATTTGTTACAATAAACAAAAGAATATATGAAAAGAAAAAAAAGGAAAATACATTACACAATAAACAAAGAACACACATATATGTATATCATAAAATTAACAAGGCAATCATGATATGTTAACAGAAGCAAAATATTCGTCAGTTGTATAAAAGCATTTCCGCAGGAAAATGTCTTTGATTGTTTTTTTAAAGCATTTAAATGACAGTACTTTAACTGAGGATGGCAGAATATTAAAAAGCTTAATACCTATGTAATTAGGTGACTTTTGGGTTTGACATATGCGATGAAATGGTAGATGGAAGTCGTTACAGTGATGCGCTGCATAGCCATGTTTACCCGAGTTTTTTTAAAAAGGGAATCTGCGTTTTCTTTTACGTTCTTAATGTTTTGTAGATATAGAGGCTTGGTAGAGAAAGAATACAAAATTTTTGAAAGATGGGTTTACAACTATATATGGTTTAGTTTTGTTAATGACTCTTGTTGCACTTTTTTGAATTTTAAATATTCTGTCACTCTGGTTAGATAACCCCTATAAATTAAACCATATGACAATACACTTTCAAAATTTAAATCGTAAAAGGCGATTACGGTCTTGTGATTGCAAAATAATTTCAACTTACGTATCTGATATACAACTTTATACAGTCTTCGAGCCAAATTTTCTATGTGATCTTGGCACATAGCTTGTTGTCCACATTAAGTCCTAATAATCTCACAGAATTTGTGACAACTTCATTATTTGTGGTGGATCGTAAATGTTGTGTCTTATTGTCATTCACATTTAACTTATTTGTTGAGAACTAGCTTTTTACCGACTCTGAACTAACTTTTTCTGCATCTGCAAGATAGTTGTCAGATTTTGCAACATTAAAAATCGTTGCATCGTCTGCAAATAAAATTTGGCGATGACTGAATATTTGCTGATAGATCATTGACATAAATTAGGAAAAGGATCGGCCGCAGAAGTGAACCCTAGGGGACACGTTTTACAATCACTTGACTGCCAGAAGTTTTACTGTTTATACTTAGCAACAATTTGAGATCTATCTCGCAGATAAGATTTAAAAAATTCGTTTGTATTACCACGTATGCCGTAATATATAACTTATGCAGAAGAATATCATGGTCGACATAATCGAAGGCTTTCGAGAAATCGAATCACGTTGCAGATACAGAAAGTTTATTGTCAAAGCAATCAAAAATATTTTCTACAAGATCCAATAGAGCTAGAGTAGTGTTTTTATTTTTTCTGAATCAACATTGTGATTTTGAAAAAAAGTTGTGCTTTTCAATGTAGTTAACTAATTTTACTTTAACAATTTGTTCAAAATTTTCGAAATCACTGGAAGAACGGAGATGGGGCGGTAGTTATTTAGATATTTTTTGTCGCCCTTTTTAAAAATGGGTATAATCTTGGCTTTTTTAAGAATAACAGGAAATGTTCCATGCCTAATACATAAATTCAATATAAAGGCTAATGGTTTTGCTATGATGTTTTTAACATATTTGATACCCACATCTGTTAAGGCATATACATCTGTAGATTTAGTATTTTTCAAACCCTTTATAATATTGCATGTAAGAGTACATTGTTAATATTCATATTAGGTACAAGGCTCTGTCGGAACATGCATTGATTTGAGCTCGAAGTTGGCAATACTACCTTGATTACGACAAAACAATTCTGCGATTTTAGGATTTTTGACGTTGAATTTTGGACCAGATGGATAACGCCGGCTACATTCCTGAAAATAATTTGTTGGGAGCAGATGAGGTTACTTCAAAGTTATTGCCAATCCTGTCAAGAGAATTCTGTGAGAGGAGTACCTTATGGCGAGAAGCACGATATGGAAACGGAGCTGCTGGGTCAATAGTTTTGGCATATTTTAAGAATAAGGTAATTTCCCTGTGATCCTCTCTTTTATAGGTGTACTTATCTAATTATACCTTATATACATCCTTATAATTTTGTAATCAGAAAAATATATATGCACCTTCCTCACTTAAGCATTCCATGCTTAGATCCTGTGTAGGGATAGTAATAATAATAATAATATAATTAATCATAATTCTCATTACCGAAACAGAACGGAGGAATGGGACACCAGAATTTAGAAAATTTATATAATAAGCTGCAAGTTTCAGAATTAAACAAATATTTTCTGAGACGCGCAGAAATAAACGAACTGTTTCGCACCATAGCAAGGGCAAACTTGAAACACACACCTTTAAATCTAATACCGAAGAAATCCACAAGCCCCACAAATTAGACACAACATAATAAGTGGGCTGAAACAAAAACAACTGTATGGAAAAATTTTCAAAGATCTAGACGAAACTCACATCACCAAGAAAATACCATTTTATTTGGCTCAAAAAATCAAGCTTGATGCCTAAACAGAAGGGTTTTTGTTTGCTATTTAAGAGCAAGTAAGTAATTAATACCAAGAATTACAGAAAAAATATAAAGATCCAAGTGTAAGGAACGATTTTTAGCCACTTCGTAAAGAAAAACCCAAAGTGATTCATGCTATTACACTAATTACAACTATATATGGTTTACTTTTGTTATCGTATCTCCATTCTTTGAAAACACTGAATACAAGCTATATTGGTATCGCACAATACTTACTGACAGAAACATTATAGCCAACAAACCAGATATACTTTTCGGCCTGGTTGTATAAAAACATGTTAATTGGCATGTCAGCTAACACCCTGTTACTTTTTACAGTCTTGTTAAGAAGTGTTATAATCAACGCGCGGAATAATATCTCATACGCTCGTTCCAGTGCTGCCGCATCGATACTTTGATTACAAATACATTTTTCTTTCGGACTATCATACTAATATTATAAATGTGAATGTGAGTTTGTTGGTTACGTTTTCACGCAACAACTACTTAACCGATTATCATGAAACTTTCTACACATACGAGGGCCACTAAATATATTTTCTACCTATTAACTATGAAACAAAAGACGTACGATTTTGGTGACAATTTTATTTTTAAATATAATCACCCCCTACATCAACGCACTTGCACCATTTATTCCAATGAATTTATGCCCTTGAAAAAAAAATATTTCTTCGTGATCGTCGAAAAAATGTTAAACTGCTTCTTTTAGGCATTCATCAGACTTAAAAAGAGGTCCGCGGAGGTGTTTTTTTAAAAATCTGAATCAATAAAAGTCAGACGCAACTAGATCACAAATATAGGGGAAATGATCCATTCCAACGAACCTGAATTCTTGCACAACGTGCTGAATTTTAGCCGCCTTATGCAGCCTCGCATAGTCGTGAAGCAGAAACACTTCTCTGTTGGTCAACATGGGCCGTTTCTCATTAATTGCCTTACCCAAATTTTTGAGAGTGATGGCATAGTTGTCTACTTTTATTGTTATGCCTTTAGGTATGTATTCAATAAGAAGTATACTTCTAATGTCCCAAAAAACGATTGCAATCAATTTTTGGGCAGATGGTTCCCTCCGTGCCCCTTTTGGGGGTGGAGATCCTTTGTGAACCCATTGATTTGATTCAGATTTTGTTTTTGTTTTAGGGTTCCAGTGGTGTACCCAATTCTCGTCATCGATCATAATTTGAGACAATAAGTCGCAATTCTCTTCAAAAGTTTCCAAATGATTTCGTAAAATTTCCATTCTGCGCAGTTTTTGTTCGGATGTCAGCAATCGTGGAACCCATCAGGAGAGACTTTACTCATGTTCAAATTTTCATGCAATATGGTTATTGCACTATATTCGGATATTTTTAATGTCCTGCTAATTGTGTAAACCTTAAGACACCGATCTTCGAGGACAATAGCTTCAACTTTTTGAGTCATTTCTGCATCTGTTGCTGTTTTTGGTTTTCCATTTCTGGGGTCGTCTTTGATGGATTCACGTCTTTACCGAAATTGTTTAGACCAAAATTTTATTAGGTAATAAGACGGTGCATCATTTCCATAAACTGCCACCATCATCTCACGAATTGTCTTTGGCTGCTGGCATTCTTTTGTGAGGAACTTTATAACGTTGCGATCGTCTAATTTTAAGTTCCTCATTTTTCTTTGTTAACAACTTATAAAACCGAAATGAATAATCCAAATTAACTCAAATTTTCGGTGCAGGGTTATAATAAATGGCACTATTTGACATATTAACGACAACGGTGTCAATGGTTTTCTTCATGGCTAGGTAGATAATATTTCTAGTTGCCCTCGTATTTTTGGAGGTACTAGAAGTAACATAGGATACTTTTTATTAAAAAAAAATGTATATGATCTCTGATACTTATTTAATGACTTAAATGCGAGCGAAGCCGCGGGTAAAAGCTAGTATCAACATAATATAACATTTCAAGATCACAGATCTGTGGTCCTGTGGTTGAAAATTTAAAAAGTGCACCTAGTATTAATATTTGAAGTAATATAGTAATATAGTTTTTTTAGTAGCTATAAACATTCCTAGAGACGCACTACGACCTTGTGGACCAGATCAAAGCGTCCCCGCTATTCGCCGTAAAACACACCTTACTTCAACTGGGGGATTGCACCACTGAAATAGAATTCCGCGCACTGGTTGTAATGTAACACTTAAGTATAAGCATCCAGAAACCTTATTTATAACTTAATAAACAAAGGATGAATTCCGGCCAAGTGAATTTCACGAAGTCTCCTAGCAAGTACTTTATCTGAACAATCTCAAGACCGTTAAATTGTGTTAGAAGTAGTTAACGATTAAAATGCTAACATGAACCGTGAGTTTACAAACAATAAAACAAATTTACACCACGTGTTGGCGTTAGTAGAAAATTCGCATATTTCCGCTTGAAAAAAACCGCAAGAATTAGCTACGCGTGTTGAGGAAAACTGTGGCATCGCAATCGGTACGATTAATTTTCGTTAAACAAAGGCTCCCCATTTTTATGAACTACCAAACCCACTAAATTTAATCTAGCTTCCTCACCGCGTCCTTTCACTTACACCAAACAAACAACAGTGACGCCACCGATCAGAATAAAGCATCCCACCCCTCTACCAAGCAGTCAACTTCTACCAACCTTCTCACTAGATACTACTCAGAAATTCTCTAGGAGAGCTACCAACTACCAAAAAGGGCTAAACGTGCGCATGGTTGTCTCTGTTTAACGATTTTCTTGATTATTCAAATACAATTTCGCGCCGCTGTTTTTTTTTCAGCGCGAAATTTTAATTCAAACTTGGTCACCACAAATTTATTCGAGCTAGAATGCGAAGTAGCCACTATAAGGTTATGGTAAGTTAAGGCTGGCGTCTGGTTCGGTTTAGCCCTATACTAAATACATTGAAAACATCGTCGCGGTTTCCGTAGTTGCATTTTAAAAATATGAGATATATCGCTTTAAAAAAATTATATTTCGAATTAACAAACTTCAGTCCAGGGGACCTCCATATTTATATTCATATCTAGTATGCGGTTTTTACAAAAAAAAAAATTATAAAATTGAACAACTTTTACATCACATTTTAACCGGCACATTGATGCATTTTTTGACGAAGTGCTGAAGTTTTTTGCATTCTGAGATAGGAGGTCCCCTGGGGAAAAGTGTCAGCTTTCTTTTGATACCAATTATAATATTAAAAAATCCACGACTGAGGTAAATAACTCGCGAAAAGTCAAAATCTATTGAAACGAGAAATCGGCATTAAACGAGCTGTGATGCGGTAGCAGAATGCAGGTTTACTTCGATTCTGACTTGGTTGGAGATTTCAGTATTTTAAAAATGCAATTCCGGAAACTACGACGATGTTTTCAATGTATTTAGTATTGGGCGAAACCGAACTAGACGCCACCCTTAATGTAAGTTGATAAATTCTCTGTGAAGTACAATTATGATTTATGACGTGTTAGTGAGATGCAAGTGTAGCGACCTATGTGTTCCCCCACTGTTCCGAAAGATCGTACTTTCGCGCTCTTTGGGGAACCAACCAGCGGACGGAAACAGCTACTTCCCGGACAAACGTCCCGCCGGACGCTGAATTACACCTGTCTGCCACTTTGCATCTCACTAACATGTGTCTGCTAATCTTAAGCACATAAACGAAACACAATGAATGCTAGACAACTCGATGGAGTATGCTGTACTGATGAAATCCAACAAGATCGAAAGTGCTGTCCTACAGCTTTCCAACGGGTTGTCTAGCCTTCGGTGTGATAAACACTTTGCTATGATTTATATGACGTATATTGTTTTATTGTAGATTCCTCTATGCGGATTTCTCAGTAGAAAAGGTGCAACATCTGAATGCTCAACAGGTGTATTTGTATATCACCATATCGCTGCACTTGCCCTACACACACATTAAAAATAATAAATGTATTTCGGACCAATTATTCGCGTTCTTGGGACGTACATCTGAACAAAAGTGAATCAGCTGAGGTCAGAGCTATTGTCTGTGAAAATCCTTTTAATCCCCAAGTGACCCTAAAAACGGCCAATGTTGACCAACAACTTCATGAAAGTTTACGACAAATTGATGGGAGTAAAGAACTGCTTTGACTGTCAGGGCCCACCCCGAACCAGAAAGATCTGCTTCACAGCGTCGAAGAAGAGTTACTTAATGTCCGAGGACTATTTAAATAGCCCATTGAAGAAATAGTTTCTAGGTCAGTTAGTTTATCATCAAAAATGAATCGGATTTCGCATTAGGAAGTGCAATTTTTAATGTAGAATATACAGGGTGACTGCGAAATATATGCAAATATTTTAACCACGGCATGCATCCCCCACCCTAGTAGAGTCGCAATATAGAAAAAACAAATTAAAAATCGAATGGGGCAAAACCCCCATGAACCACCCTCGATACGAAGGCACTGAGCCACCTTGTAAACAGAGTTGGAAAAACGTTCGAATAAAAACGACGTAAACACTTTCAGTTTTAATTAAAAGTAAAACCGACTTTTTGCTGCTTATCATTCGTTCATTCATTTATTCGTTCATCGTTAAAGGTCAGTGCGAAAGTTTTTTGGTAATTTTGATTCTGACGGATGTTTGGTCCTTGTCACAACGATTTTGCATTGTTTATTGGAACAGAAGTAAGAGCAACTTAGAATGCTACTACCATTTTACAAGAAATGTTGAAAATGTTGTCCTTGACTAGCAATACAGGCGTCCAAGGGTTACAAGAGGTTTGTTGATGGGTAAAAAAACACCGGAGCAGCGGCTGCCACTTTCACTTGTTGAAACGCTTCGATAATTTCTGGACACTGTTGATTTCCACAAACGAACTGTTTCATCCAACCAATACACGTTTCTCGAAAACCGTCTCTTGAAATCGTACTTGTTGACGAGTCTGTGGAGTTCCATCGCACAAAAAGTGAGTTACACAACGTGGACAATCAGCGGGCTCCAAACCGTGCACTTTGTCAACATGGTATGGTTGTGACCGTGTACTTTTAATGTAGGATGCACTACAAGCTGCGAAAATCCAATTTCTTCTTTCTGTCCCATCACGACCACGATCGTGAGTTTGAGGTTGAAGGTACCATGATCTCGGAGGTGCTGTACCACTGATGCAAATGTTCGCGCACACCAATTACCATATCGACACACTCTGCATTGGAAAACTGGACCATACACCGATTTCAACGACCGCTCGATAATGACTGGCCCTTTTCGTGTTTTTCACGTTGCGATTAAAAAAGTGCCTGATAAAGTTATTTTTTTGGTTCTTAATCCGAGTCGCCTGCCCATTCATTGCAGTAATTATGTAGGTCACGAAACATTACCAGCGGCGTGTATAACAATTTACATTTAATTTCAAATAATTTTTTCTAGACACTCCTACCACTTAGGACCGTGAATTTTTGCCAGTGACATAATCATATTGTGAGCTATTCCCCTTTTTTTTTTGCATGTATTTCGCAGTCACTTGTATAATATATTTTTTGAAATATATTGTTTTGTAAATTATGAAAGTGATCTTTACTTGTACACAAAAGTTTTAACCAGGAATGCCAAGTTTTTCCTTTTCTAGCAAAAATGTGTGAAAAGAAAAAAGTTTGGGATTGACAGTGCTTTTTAATTTAAAATTTGGCAATTGATTGTTTGCAAATATGAGAAAGAAAAAAAAACTATATTTTACTTTGCATCGTGAAAAATAAAATAAGGTAAGCATTGCAGAAAAAAAAACTATTCCCATTCGGACCTGAGAACATCGAACGAATATTACAAATGTCACAAATAATATGTCCAAAGATAGAAAAATTGGTCGAAAGTTGTTTCGACAGAATTTCCCTCGCTCCTGAAGTACAATGAAACATATCCGACATTTTCGAATTGAGTTTTTTCTTTACACAATTTTGTGATGACGTCATAGTAGTTATATAGTGGGGCTTCTAGGTCAGGTCAAATGAGGTCAAACTGGCCCAGCAGCCCCATTACTTTTCATCGATCGTTCATTCACCTCTGAGGTCGGCCATCGTCTTGTCTTCTGTTGACCTGACCTTGGTCGTGCTCGGGTGTCCTCGTCTTGTCCTCGGTTGACCTGATCTCGGCCGAAGTCGTGCAGAGCGACCCCTTGGTTCGGGTAGGGTCGTGCTCGGCACGTGTCGGGGACGGTCGTAGCGTTTGTCATCGTTCTGTCCTTGGTTGACCTGGCCCCTTGTTCGGCCGGATTTGGACATAGCAACCTTTTCGGTCGGCGCGTACCTGTTGTTGACTTGAGGGTTTAATGACCCCTTAGGTCGTGTTTTGTTCTCTAACCTGATTATTCTGTCATGTAACTTACTAAGAAAATATATATTTAAAAACCATATATCTAATAGTACTATATTGCTAGCGCTTCAGAAGTAACATAGAAACGGTGTTCACGGACAGAGAGAGACAGAAGATGTTGTTTTCTGTCTATAAGAGTACCGAGGGTCTGTGCGCATGTACACAAAATAGAAGCGAAAATACGAAATGTCAAAACGCATCCAGTCCCGCTATCCACTACAAATCAACCAAGTACGAGTGCATGCGCAGTACTGTTTGGTACCACAGAGAGACAGAGAGGTCCGATATATTGCTCTACCGTTATGTTTTCGGAATCTTTTGAGGCCTGTTAGCAATATAGTACTATTAGATATATGTTAAAAACTAAGGGCGGCGGCCTTCGCTTCTTTAAGAACTGTGCAGACCACCGCATGCATGCACATGACTAGCGCGGCACGGTGTCGATCAAGTCGTTTTCCAACTACATTGCATTTGGATCGCAGTTTTGTCGCTTGTTTTTCAGGTGCAATACGCGCCTAGACATTGGCGTCGAGTACTCATTGCACAAAGTGTTCAATAACAAACGTTAGCATCGCCTCAAAAATATGAAATTAAACGAGATTTATAAGAGTCTCAATCGCATACAAATAAGAGTAATCCACCTTCTTCCTCTATGGTAGATACTTTTGACGAGGAACTGTGCGAAACATTTGTGGCAGCGACCATCTCTTTCGCAAAAATTAATAACTCAAAATTGAAACACTTTCTTGAAAAATACACCCACAAACACATACCACACGATGCGCAAAATATTGAGTGCAAAGACACCATTATCAAACCAAACATCGCATATGATTTCAGTCTCATTGATCAAAAGTCTCAAAATTTATCGAAAACTATAGCTTATTTACAGTCTGAAATTTTAAAGTTGTATGACGCTTTAGCAAAACTTCAAAGTACTGTGATTCAATTAAAAAATCTGTCAGGTGAATTTGGGAAACAGTTAAAAAGGAAAGTAGAATCTGTTGTTACTAGAAATCCTGATTTAAATCTTTTGAATGAATTTTGCGGTGGCATAACGGAACCACACATTAGAAAAAAATATGAAACTTCAATTTTTTCTGTTTAATTTCGCACACCAGTTGTGACGTGGAGCGTTTGTTTTCTGAATTGAAAGACTTCGTAACCCCTAAAAGAACACGTTTTACAGAAGAAAATCTGAAGTGAACGCCTGTTGTTTATCCAACGCTAGACCTTGAACAGACTGCGAAACGTTTCTTCACGCCTATGGATTAAAACAGCTTCGCTGCTCTCTGTTTATGCACAAATCATTTAAATGTAGTCAGGTTGGCCGAGTGGACTAAGGCATTAGATTTAAGCTCTGATTGTCGAAAGGGAGCGTGGGTTCGAATCCCACACCCGACAGTTCTTTTTTTGCGTTTAAATAAAACACATTGTAATGTTATGTTATTTGTTGAGGAAATATAGAGTGCAGCCATTTGTAAATATTTTTAGCATTATTTAATGAACAGGAACATTTTTTAATTTTAGATATATGATTATCACATGCTGGGATTTCTTTGGTCAGTTTCACACAGTCCAATGGCTTCCAGATTCACAATTTTGGGGCAGTCTTTTCCTAGGGTTTCCATGAGATAATTTTCTTTGTTTCTTCCCTTCAAGTATACGACCTTCACCCCGTGCTCTCCTTGATGTATTCGATCAAAATTTGTTTAACGGATCCTTGGAGCCATCATTAAATCTCAACATATGATGATACCGTTGTATATTTCTAAAACAGCTTTTTCGTTACTTTTGTAAACTTGTGAAGGTTTAATTTTTATAGTACTATGATAAGTATTATTACATCGATGTACCACATTAGGCAATAAATCTAGCCATTTATAATTTCCTTGCAAACTAAAAATTCTTTCCACATTAAATTTTTTATTGTGCGATTAACTCTTTCAACGATTGAGGGTTTTTTAAACTGGAGACACTGTAATGTTTTTGTATTTTTTCGTAAGATGTTGAAAGTTTACATTATGGAATTCTTTTCCTTGATCTGTTTGCAAATTTTTGGGTAGCCATACGATTTTAGATAAAAAAAATTACATTGCAGCGGTTATTTGTTGAGAATCTTTTGATTTTACTGGGAGAGCCCTGACAAATTTTGAAAAGCAGTCGATAACAATTAGGATATATTTATATCCTCTATTTATGTTAACATATGGTATCATTTTTACTAGATCGGCTTGTAACGTTTCGTTAATACCCTTAATTTAAAAGTTAATTTTTACATGTTTGTGCAATTCTGCAACAATACCTCTTTCATATATTTTCTTGCGTTTCATTGCTATCATTGTTTATGGTATACTTTCTCGGACTGTACTAACGATTTTTCAAAATTTACAGGACATTTTATTATCATTTCCGCGAATAAATTTGGCTCATTTTTTGTTTCATTTTGATTGTATTTGAACGAGATTCTGTGACCGTTACGTAGTAAAAATCCTTTTAATTCTTCTTTGTTTAAAAGATTGTTATTTATATACGTTAATTTCATTGCTATTAATAATTAAATTTTCAACAGCACCAATTTCTAGAGGAAACGTAGGTATAGTGCATTTTTTTGCGATTTTAATGCGTACATGTTTTCCACGATTTTTTCCGATTCAAAGTGAAATATTAGATTATAAAACATATAGTTCGATATAGTTATCACATCATCACTGCTGTAATTTGAAAGTTGAGTATGTTTTAACAAATGACGTCCGAATTTATCCAGAGTCATATTATGCAATTATTTTAGCTTCGCGTTGTTCTTCAATTATAGAGGCGATTTCGTTTCAGTGACCCGAATGACCCGCGGTCTGAGAAGCAACTAACAGCTTCAATCTTTGAACTAATTCATTTTGAACATTTTGATTAATTCGTTGCTCTGATGAAGAATGTTTTGTAATTTTTATTTTCCGAGCGTAAGTTTTCCTGACGTTTCATGACCCCTAGAGTACAAAGAAATGAGTCTCCCGTTTCCGTCTGTCTGTCCGTCTGTCTGCAGATAGTAAAACGCTAACCATCCCCACCAATAATGTAATGCGTCACTTCAAAATTGTACATAGTAAATGAGTTTTAAATTGTATAAAATCACATAGTCCTACACATGTGCTTCATGACTCAACATTTTGCAATTTAATTTTGAATCTGCAAAACCGAGTGCTTCGAAATCTTGCAGATGTTTTAAAGATATGATAAGCATAATAAATTGATGACGTCAGCCCAAAATTTGCCAAATGAATCGTATCTAAAATGTCCAAAATAGGATGAGTCTATACTTGTGATTTATCATTCCATTCATATTTTTTAGATTTGCTTATACAGGGTGACTCAAAAAAATTAATGAATTAATTTTATTGATTTAATCAGGAACTGCAAAACCGAATGCTCTGAAATCTTGTAGATGCTTTAAAGTTATCATAAGCATAGGAATTTTTTGATTAAAATGTATTTGCTCATCCCTCTAAAAAATTGATGACGTCACCTCAAAATTTTGCTCTTTAAATCCTATCTGAAATGTCCAAAAATGATGAGTTTTTACTTGTGATTTATCACTGCATTAATATTTTTTAGTTTTGCTTACACGGGGTGTCTCAAAAAAATTAATTACTGAGTCAATTTATTTTATTGATTGAATCAAGAATTGCAAAACTGAACACTTTGAAATATTGCAGACGTTTTGAAGTTACTGTAAGTATGGTAGCTTTTTAATCAAAACGTATCTGTTTATCAAACTCAAAAACTTGATAACGTCATCTCAAAATTTTGCCAAATAAATCAAATGTACAAAATATCATCAGTATATACTCGTAATGTATGATTGCATTCATATTTTTTAGATAGGCTTTTGCAGTGACTCAAAAAAATTAATGGATCAGTCAATTTATTTTATTGAATAACTCAAGAATTGCAGAAATGAATACTTTGAGACCTTGCAGACGTTTTAAAGTGATTGTAAGCATGGTAAATTGTTAATCAGAATATTTATTTATTCCCCCCAAAAAATTGATGGAACGGCTGACTCCATTTTCGGAATAGAATACAGTTATTTTTAGTATTACACTGCACCAATCCAAAGTGATATACGTGTTGCTTGTAAATGTTGAT